CTTCTGGCGATGGTTATATGATTCAAAGCACCAAATTAATAAAGAAGATCGTGTAATAATTATGCGAAAAATGAAAAAGATCCTTTACACATCATCAGTTACAGAGATGAATTCGCATTATTCTGAGTTTAGGCAAAGTTTTTATTGTTTGTATCTTATATTACAAAAACATTTTGAGACTTTATGGGAATGATATCATTTTTGGGCATTGTCTTTTCGGTCAGATATACCCATGCGTGGAAACAACACTAACAACTACATTGAGCGGGCTTTTTGTACATTGAAAAATGTTATATTTTCACAAACGCAAGCATACAATGTAGTACAGGTGTTTCAATTTGTGACTTTAAATATGGAAAGATATTATGAATGACGATTACTAACTTTTCACACAACCATCCTAGGCATTTACGAATTGCAAAACGATTTTTTTGCCCAGGATGGGAAATGATCAATGCAGACAGTATCCAAAGACTAAATATGAGTAACGAGTTTCTAGTACCTAGTGCAAATCAGGATACTACTTATATTGTGAGCAGCGAAATTGGAATATGTACCTGCCCTGCTGGTAGATCTGGTGCACCTTGCAAGCACCAAGGTGCTGTCGCAATGAAATTTAATGTTTCTATATTTAATTTTTTCCTTTGCTAATGCCTGACAATCGCATGCTCTTTGTATATGTTGCACTTGGTTACACCGCAAGGGACAATTCCTTTTATGCATCACTCAATGGGAAATTTGTTTCACAAGATCGTGAAAATTTTAATAAGGCAAAAATGAGAACGCCAATTAGCGATAGTGCAATTGAAACCAATGAAAATGCATATAATAACAATGAAACCAATATTGTCGTATTTATGGATTTTTTGAACGAAGTGAAGGAAGACTATCAAAATGCTAATCCTCAATTATGTACTGCATTAAATAAATTCGCAAAACATTATTGAGCAGCAAAAAATCAATCAATTCTCTGCTTAACCTCTTATCTTTATGATCTTAATAGTGGTGCTGATTCCACAACCCATATCAGAAGTGGTTTTATGATTCGGGTTCAAGTTGAATCTGTTAAACGATGCAAGACGGATGGGTCAGGACGTAAATGAAAATCACTAGAAATTTCCAAAGGCAAGGAAAATCATTATCCGAATGCCATTTCTAGTCGAAAAAAAAGAATTGATAGTAAAAAAGAGCACAATTTGGACCAAAATGTATCAAAAAATAGGCTAAACTAAAGGGCTTAGTGAATTATTATCACTAAACAGAAAAGAGCCCCGCTGGTAAAAAGAAAAGAAAAAAGGTTAAAAAAAAATAAAAAAAAAAGAATAAAAAAAAGAAGAAAGAAAAAAAGTCGCTAGTATGAATCTAGTGTAGCGAAATGTATAAAGTTGCATATGTTGGAGGGCAATATAAAGCATTTACTTGCAGTTTACATTTAACAGATTTATTAAACAAGCATTAAAAATGGAATAATCATTTATGGGTTATGAATCTTGCAATCATAGCTAAAATATCTATAATAAAATCAGTCTTGCTAGTATAGTATTGCTTTTAACACAAATATTTTAACAGTGCGATTACTTCTCTAAAAAGTAATTCTGATTAATAATACCGATTATATATAAATATTCCAATTTTTATAAATTAACTTTGTTATTATTGTTTAGAAAGCCTTTAAATATATCTTACACAAACAATTTACAGCTACGCATGAGAATCTAATACTTATGAAACAGTCAGTCGTTCGATTTTATGATTTGATCTGCTTCTAAATTAGCATGTTTAGATGCATTGGCTAATTTTACTGATACGGAAAATTGGTGGCGATGATTTTAATTATGTAAGAGGACGTAACCATCAAGTATCGTTGCACTCAAGACCTTTGGTTCAAAGACAAATGACAATCAAAATTCTTTTAATTTTTTAAGCAAGGTAGGTTAAAATTGTATTCTATAAGACTGTATAATAATTGTTATTGGTGTAAAAAGATACAATCCAGTAAAAGATCTGGTAATTATAAAATTTTCGTAAGCTTATCTTTTAATTGCATCAAAATTATCGTGTAGGTATTCTGGTTTGCATATTTATATAAAAGGCTGGGCAGATTTTCAGGTTTTAATAGATGATATGTCTGTCTATTTTGTTTAAGTTTTACTTATTTACTTGAATATCTGGAGAAAACATTCTTACAGTGAAAGAATTTTATGGTTGGAACATTACTTTAACTGGTGATCAAGATTTTTATTTAAATAGATGTTAAGATTCACAAATATTTTGAACCTTCTATGGTGCAGATGATACAGGTATGATTTAATTCATTTTATGTTGGTGTACACTTTATAGAACTATCATAATATAGATTATTGATATAGGTAATCTTTATAAGAAAGAAATATTCGACATTTCATGAATGGAAATTAAAAATAAAAGTGCCAACTTGGTCACTGCTAATGGAGTAAGTTATATTAATATTTTACATTTAATTATTTCAATTATGTTAATAAATAATAATATCATTATTATTAGAAATTTGATGTTTGAGGTCGTGAACGTTATAAGGAACACTATTTAAAACAACTTATATTATATCAGATATTATAATGGTTATAGCTTTACAAAAGAGTAAACAAAAATTTTGCTAAACTTGTTAAGTTGAAAATTCAATTTAAATTCATACTATATTTAGGGTTATGTGTCTAAAGCTTCGCACTATTAATTATTTAAAACAAGCTGTTTAAAGTTTCTCTGTTGAATTATTTTTATTAAGTTAAAAACTCTTTAAAACCAATATCTGTTATCCAAAGTTTCATACTAGTACAAAAATTATTGCAGTATATTTTTCTCATTCTGATTTAAGACCATTACCACTAGGATCCAAAAAGTTATAGCATTTTTGCAGAGTACAACTTCTAATGCTTTTCCTTATTCAGATCCAAGATCATTACCACTAGGATTCAAAAAGTAATTGTAATATTTTTGTTGAAGTTGTCATATAATAACAATACAATCTATTAGAGTAATTTAAAGCAAGAACAGGTTTCATTGTATTGAACAGACTAAGCAGTATATAAAGGTTTGTATCTCTCTTTTATACAGAATTTTCTTGATGACTATTACTAGCACAATTGCTAATATTAATTACTTTTAACTATTTAATGACTATATAATTTATGTACTTGAACTAACTACTACTTTATAATACTTTGTTACTTTAATTTAATTAATATATGACTATATTCTTTATATGCTAACCTGTAATACAGTGTTGACTACTAACTAATTAATATATAACTACATTCTTTATATGCTGATTTGTAATATAGTATTTACTACTAACTAATTAATAATTGATTATATTCTTTATGTATCGAAGAAGAAATACTTGAATATCACAGTTTTGGAAGTTATGAACTAAGGGTCACAGGCTTGAGGGTTATGGGCTCAGGTCACAACTAGAGTTTCAGGTTTGGGTTGGGGCTTGGTTAGGTCATAAGCTTGGTTATTACACTATCTCCTTTTAACAATTGGTTTCTTCTATTGTAATTTTTTTATTTGCTTTTTGATACAGATCTAGGCTTGCTGAAGTGCTAATATTTGAAGTCTTCTACTGCTTCTCGAGCATGTTTTATATTTTTCTACAGCTTCTATGAATGTTTGCTTGCATTATAATCTTTTTAGTTCACCAGATAATACTATTTATTTCAAACTAGCTTTATATTAAGAATCTCTTTAACTTCATATTCCCTTGCTTCCTCAATGATTACAGGTGGTGGTAGCTCTGCCAATCTTCTAGAAATTGTATTTACCATGTATGGTTACAACAGTGATACTTGAAAGGTGTTGTGAATTTTAAAAAAGGAAGGTAATATTAAACAATATGCTACTGGACTTATTTATATAGCAATCTTAAATGGCTTGAGTTTCTGATAGTCCAACTTTTCTGAGAGCTGCTCAGTTTTTATATTTTGCCTTACTAACAATACTTTGTTACCAATATTGTATGTAGATACTTCCTGTCAGTACTTGTCAACATATTTTTTATATTGTTCTTGTGTAGCACTTAATTTCATAATTAGCTTTTCTTATTTATGTTATAACTAGATCATCATGGTTTCTGCTAAAGGAACTAAAGTATAAACAGGGCTTTGCATATCAAAGTAAAAATAAAAGCCATAATTTGCAAGAAATGGGGCTGTTTGTATTGATGAATAAGTAGAATTATTATAGGCAAACTCTGCAAAAGATAATATTTCAGCCTAATTATCCTGGTGATAGTTGACAGAACATTATAGATATTGTTTCAGTATCTGGTTTACCTGTTCACTTTGACCATCCATTTGGAGATAGTAGGCAGATAACAAATTAACCTTTGTGCTCAACAATATGAACAACTGTTTCTAGAATTTGGATACAAATTGAGGACCTATCTGAAATAATTTTTTTAAGTACTTTATGCAATTGAATCACATCTCAGAAAATTAGATGAGCTGTCTGCTCTATATTGATATTTTTATTATATATAATAAAATAGGCCTTCTTGATTAGCCAATCCACCACTACAAGAACAGAATTAAATCCAAAAGACGAAGATAAGTTGGTAATAAAATTCATATATATGGACTACTATTGCTATTTTGAGATAGATAGAAGAACTAACAAACCTGAGCTTCGTATATACTTTTGAACAAAAAGTTAATATTTGGGCCACCAATAGTCCTGTGTGATTATTTTGATAGTTTTTGCTATACTAAAGTGCTTAGCCATCTATGAGTACTATAAGTTTTTATGATCACAATAAATGATGATTTTGTGTTGAGCTTTCTCTAAATATTATCGCTTTTACTTAAAAAAAGCTACATTGCTAAAAGTTCTTTATCATATATGTTATAGTTGATTTTAGAAGATAAAAAATTCTGTGAGTAATAAATGACAGGATGCAAGTACCCATCATTCTGTTGTCAGGAAAGCACAGCCTCTAGTACAAAGTCTGACATATCTGTTTTTAAAAAAAATTGTTTTGTAAGTCTACATAGTAAAGGATTAGAGCAAATATGAATTTCACTTTTAATAGCTTAAAGGCCTGTTGGGCTTAAGCAGACTAGTGAAAATAGATTTTAGATTTTTAGATCAAATTAGTAAGTAGAGTAACAAGTTTGAAGTAGTTCTTGATGAAGTAGTGGTAGTAATTAGCAAGTCCTAAAAACCATTATACTTTTTTGAGTGATTTTGGTATAGGCCAAGTCATGATACTCTCTACTTTATTGCTATTTATTTAAATCCTCTAAGACAAAATAATGTATCCCAAAAATTTAATATACTGTTTGTCAAATTCACACTTCTCTAGCTTTGTATATAGTCTATATTAGTATAAAAGCTCTAAAACTAACTTTATATTTTTGTCATGTTTTTCTTGATTTGAGACTAATATATTGTCTAGATATATTATAACAAACCTATCTAAAAACTCTCTGAAAATATTATTCATTATATGCTAAAAAATAGTAAGTTATTAGTTAGCCCAAAGGCATAACTATATATTTGAAGTGTCTGTACTAAGTATGAAACACAGTTTTCTATTCATCTTTTAGGCATATGCAAACTAAATTATAAGCTCCTCTAAAGTTGATTTTGGTGAATAGATATGCCAAAGAAAGTCAGTTGAGTAACTCTAAAATAAGAAAAAAAAGTATCTGTTTTTATAGTAATCTGATTCAATTTTCTATAATCTACACATAGATACAGAGATCTATTTTTTTTTTTGTATAAAGAGAACAGAGACCCCTGCAGGTGATCTTGAATATCTAATAAAGCCATTACTCAAATGGTCCTCTATATACTTTCACAAGGTTTCTAACTTCTTTGTAGTTAGGTTATATATAGGGCCTCAAAGAGGTTGTATTCCTAGTAATAAATTGATATTCAGATAACTTATCTGCTTTTTCTTTGTTGAAAATATTTTAAAATCTTGTATTTGCTAGAGATGCTTTGGTAGTTACCTTTTACAAAGGTATCTGATATGGTGACAAGAAAAATCTAGGCTATGAAGAAGATTAAATTGCAACTTTTCTGAGTAATTTTGAAAAATAAGGATTAAGGGTTCAGTTTC